AAAGTACAAATTTCATAAAACAATTGCCGCAATGAAAACATGAAAAAAGTATATCTGAAAACAGATTTGAAACCCAATGAAATACGTGAAAGACTACGCAAAGTATCGAAACATTTTCCGATTTTCCCATTCAAATCGGAGAAGTTTCTCAAAATCGTGCTTTTATAATTAGTTTAGGAGTAAAATGAATTTAGATACGTTCAATTAAAAGCCGTAAATTTACTAATGATGCGAATAATCCAAACATTTATTTTTACTCTGGTTTATATTTTCATCTGGTATTTTCTAGTGTATAATACATTTAAACAGTACTGATCAACTTATTTACTTTATATCAACTTATTATATAACTATTTGGTAAAGGGCATAAGCTGAGTGGTTCTTTTACTTATCTGATGCAAATAGATTTTTTCTCCTCTAACAGCTTTATTTTCAAATGTATTTTAATTTCTAAACTCCAAATGAAAATTTCAATATCCAAAGCAATTTCAGCGCGCAAATCTACATTAAGTATTTCATAAAATTAAACTAAGCGTCTATAAATAGCCCTATTATGGCTCTAATTATTTTCTTCAAAATGCATTTTTAGGTTTTTTTTTTAATAAAAATACTTTCTTTTTACTCTAGCAGCCAGCACTGAAATGTAAAATTAGAGATTCGCACCAAAACGTTTACAAAATTCGAGGTATACTTCGATATCTATTTTCAAACTGTGTTCCCACAGTAATCATAACACTTTTTAGAGTAGATCTCCAGTATCAAGTCCAGTATCACTGTCTGCGGTGAGCACACATGGGAAAATTATTTTTAAAAAGTAACTCGTTCAACGAAATATAAATATAATTAAAAAGTTTGAATGTTAAAGTTCATTGAAATAGTGAAAACTTAAAATAAGCAGAATTAATTTGGTAACTTAAAAATTCCAGATTTTATGGAACTTTTATTTTTACTTCCAGAAACTAGTTTACCAATAAATTAACTTCAGGCACATTTGATAAAAATTTGTTTAAAAAATTGAAATAAATAACTATTCATCTGTTGGAAACTCCACTAAATTAAAAATTATATTTTTTAAATGTCAAAAAATGTCTTTGTAAAATTTTAAATAAAATAACAATTTGTGATTTAGATATGCCACTTAAATATTTGAGCACAATTTTTTTTTAGTTCCATGATGAACTAGCATATTTATATGGTATAATTCGAGAAAATATATATATAAAATAAAAAACAAGTGAGATTCTTGAAATTTTTTAATTCATACAATATTTCAATTAAATAAAGCTTATATTTTAAAACTTGCAAAAAGAATTTAATATTTTGCACCAAAAGTTTTTGGTTTAATAATATTAAATTATTAAAACTGTGAAAAACTTTCAATGCACACATGGTTGGCAAAAGTATTGTTTGTCAAACTAAAATGAATAAATGCATATTTTAAACAGTTTGATTCATTTTACAAATAGAAAGAATATTCTGATGCAATATTACTTTTAGAAAAAAAATTTGTATTTAAATCGTTCTTTGACTCAAAACAAGAACCTCAACATATGTCCATTAGTTTATGTCCTCGCACATAACAGATTTATTTTAAGGAGATTTCAAAAGTTATGAATAGAAAAAAAATGTATATCAAAAGGCTTTGATAATAGGTGATATTGCCTATCCCATTAGCTTACCGGCTACAGCTAAGGAATATTAACTAAAAAACTTGACTTTAAATATTTAGAGATTGTTTGTGAAAGCAACCCGCCGAACTCTTTCTCATATTTTATAGAAAACTAGATGTCAAGGTAGACAGTACGTCCATGTCAGAATAATTATAACCTTCAAGTATTTAGAGGTTTGAAAAACTATTTTTCTGAAAATAGCATACACACATTTTACTTAGTTTACATTATTTTAATGCACACTTTTTTCACTTCTATTTTTTTTCTTTCTAACCTTTTAACCTGAATTCTTTTCGAATACCACAGGAATTCACCAAAGATCTTTTGACTATTCCAGTAACAAGAATTATCTACTTTTAATCTCTCAATGAATTTTGCAGCAGTTAAATGTTCAAAGGAAACTCCTTTCCTTCATAAAAAAATTACAATCATCAAGAGTTGAGCCGTGGTGGCTCAGAGCATAGAGCGTGAGCTTCTCAATGATGTGAATCGGGCTCGAATCCCAGAAATAGCTGATAGATTCAAATTCCACACCCGGCTTCCACCAAACACAGTGATGATGGAAAATATCATCAATTGTGCACGGATCACGAGTTAGAGTCCCCTTGCCATCGGGCTAACTGTGGGATGTTTTCATAGTTTTCTTGCCATGTAACGCGAATGCGAGTTAGATCCATCAAAAAGTGCCTCAAAGTCAAATCTCACCCAATAGTTGATCCGGGAAATAGCTGTTTATCTTATGGATTAGGTTCAAAATTACAAAGTTAAGGAGTTGAACATTGATAGTCTTAAACTCAGAATTCTGTAAGCTGCTCAAAGATGGTTTATAAAATCATCAAGAGTTTCGAAAAAGTTTAACTGGTAAAGATTACATACCATAAATTTAAAAATTTAAATATTTAATTTAAAAAAATTGGAAAGTTACAAAATTATCAAAAGGTAGCTATTTTTTTTAGACATGTTACAAACACTTGCACTTTTTCCCTAAAAATGCTGCGAAAACACAAGTAAAAAGTACTAGATTTAAAAAGTACCGAAGTACGTACTTTACTTTCATTGTAAAAAACGAAAGTAGATGTATTGCCATACATGGCAGGCAGTGCTTCGCAGGAACCAAGGTACTGCGGTATCGGTCCTCATAATTCAAACAAATTCGTAGGAATATATTTTATGAGACAAGATTTTTTAAGAGCAATTACTATCTGAACTGATTATTAAGCTTGTTTAAAAATTTGCTTCTGGAAGGAAATTCTTTGGGTTTTCAGGAATACTGCGAGTTTGCTTTTGGATACTGCCACCAAACAGTATTTTATACTCTTTCACTGACCATAAACGAGCTTCAATTTCATTAAATTTTATAATATTAAATTAAATAAATTTTAATTTTAAATTAAAATGTTCAGAAGTATCTTTGCTTCTTACACTTTGTTATGAAACTTTGTTAGATTTATATAAAAATCCAATGGCCAAAATATGCAACTCAGAGCTAACGAGGATATCAGAGTCAAGAAAGGCAGATTTCTAGTAATGTTCTAGTTTGACTTTAGTAACAATACGATTTTCATTTTAAAAAATTTAGTACTTAACTATTCAATGCTAACTGCAATCTGCGCACCATTGTGAGCAGAAATTATATTACTAAGTCGTAATGTTCCACTTCTTATCTACAAAAATGTAAGATCAAATCGCCCTTCTGGACCAGCTGCCAGGAACATGCTGAGCTGAAGTTTATGATAAATTACAACAAATAAAAAAATTTTTTCGTGCAAGAAGTTTTAATATTAATTTATTTTTAAATTAAATTTCAATCTTTATTTTCTATTATTTTTACCTCATTTTACAACGAACAATGCACTAAGATTAATAAGAGGATATAATTTAATTAACTCTTCCTACGACAAAAAAAATGTAGGAAGTTTAAAAGTTGTTTTTGGAGTATAAATTTAAGCTGCCAATTTAGAAGAGACGTAATCATATTTTAAGTTCATCCAGCTTAAATATTTCCTGCTTAAGTTGTCAACTCTTAATATAATTACAGTTTAACTGCAAGTACTCAAATTTACGAATATTAACTGTTAATACATAATTTATACAAGACTAATTAAGCAATAGAATTTTGCTAATAACAATGCTTGTTGAACCAATAAGAAAATGATTTTTAGCCGGAATTTTAAAAATTACGATTGGAGGAAAAAAGCAGATTGTCAAGGGTCTAAGTGGTTTTGATTTTCTTGATGAAGTATTCAAGTTTCTTTTACTTATCTAATTAACTTAGGTTTCAGATTTTTCTTCAGATTTAACAAGAACACATATGAATGGAAGCATTTGAGACAACCATAAAAATTATAATTTTCTTCAAAACAGAAAAATAAAACGTTGAAAAAATACTACGAAGCATGGCATGCATGATAAATTTCAAAAATCGTATTAATTACTCGATACAACTTTCAAGAGGCAGTCAAATATGCACTTTTTAAAGTCATGATAGCTTAAAGCAAGATCTGAAAAGCTTTCAAAAAACTTATGGAATTTTAAATAGAAATATTGACCTACATTTAAGTGCTGGAATGAATTTATGAAACAAGCTATTATCAAACTAAATTTTAATTCAATGGGTAAACTTTAAAATTTATTTAAAGACAAAACTTTGAATATATAAATTTAAGCAAAATGATATAGTGAGGCATTTTTAACAATATACAGTAAAACTATATATAGTATTAGAATTTCAAGTTTTTCTATAATATGAATGAATATTTAAAAGATACTTAATATTCGCAGTTTTGCATTTCAAATCTCTGAAAACTAAATTTGTAAGGGTTATAAATTTAAAATTTTTGACTTTTCTAAAATTAATCTTCATTATGTTAACAATTAAGTACAAAAATAATCTAAATTATTTAAAACTGCTCGCAAAAAAAGGCAATTGTATGTTTTTATAATAAACGTGAATGTAGACACATTAGTAATATTTTACTTTTAGAGCACAAAAAATTTTAGAAAACTTAAAAATGATCAAGATGCTTACTTTTTAAAATTTATTGATATGTTCTTAATTGCAAGGATTTTTCTGCAATAGCTTAAGAGGAATTTAAAAGCATTTGAAGGAAAAAAATAGTTTAAAGTTACAATTTCAAAACACTTCTTAAATTATGATACAATTTATGGAATTAAAGTATACTAAGATATCATTACTGTAAAAATAACTACACAGTTATTCATAAATATCTAAAACCACGAAACACACTTTGAAAAATTAAATAAAGATTATATAAATGAAAATTAAGTACATTTAGTTTTCATCAGTGACGTTTAAGATGTTTCGCTTACCTTAGCGGAAAAGAACCATTTCACAGTAAATAGTTATCAGGTGACTTCTGCAAAGTTGAAGTTCTCAGAAACATGCGAATTATGAGCTATCACTTGGAACAATTTAGAAAACTGTTGAAGCCGTGCATACAGTCAGTTCATTTATAAATGGGGAACAACAGAACCAATTTCGGTAGTTTGGAACATTTCTGGAAACATTTATTCCCAATATTGTCAAGTTCGAATCATAAAATGTGTAGCTGAAATTTCAACAGAGCAGATTTTATAGTTGTTAATCATGAGGGAACTATCAATATAACTTAAGAAAATTTGTTGCAAATTAGTATATCAGCGACATATATTTGATCGTCTACGCCTACGTTCTTTTCCTTAGCCTTCTTGCTATCAACGCTCTCCTAAAGTATGCACAATTATCTTTAAAATCACCAAATAAAGTTAAACATCAGCAAATTCATAAGCAAAAATTTTGTCATTCGAAAACTTTTGCGAAACCAAACACAAAGTGAAAGGCCCTGCCCTTTTATACTTTTTAACAACACCAATAACAATTATTTTTAAACGCAACACAATATTTTACAGGGATATGTAGGGGCCTCCCTGGCTGAGCGGTATCGCCCGCAAAACGCTCTTTTCAGCGTGGAGGGAGCAGGTTCGGATCCCAACGTATCCCTGGATGCATTATTTGTGATTGTATTGTGCTATCTGTCCTTCTACTTGACAAAGGTTTATAAGCCTTAATTGAGCACACAAATTTGCAAGTGTATGTTGTACCAATAAGCCAATAAAGGGATATATATAAGTGGCCATCCTAGCAGAGCGCTCTCGTTCCTCTAACGCTTTAGCGGACCCAAATTCCGCGGTAGCCCTGGATGTATTTTCGTGATGGTCTTTACTGATTTGTACTATCAGTCCTTCAACTTAAAAAGGATTGAAAGACATCTTTTTAATGAGCATACAAGTCTGCATATGAATGTGCAACAATAAGTTGTTGCTGCAGTTTATTTACGTCACGCTAGGCTTGGCGACGGTCTGGGAAACGGTCTGGGAAACATCACTCAGGAGGATCCGAAGACATGCCATCACAATTTCGATCATCTACAAGAGGATGGCTACCCCGCTATGGTAGCAGGACGACCTGCGCGTGGACTAATTTAACGAGGACTAATACGGCACACCCTCGGTTCCTTCTTTGACTGATCCAAGTGATCACCCACCCGCACACTGACAGCAGCCAGTAATGCTTGACTTCGGTATTCTACTGGGAACCATGCCTTAACGATGCTATCAGTCCACTGCGGGACACAACAATAAAATGATGTATGAAATGTTTACTATGTTTCAGCGGTCTTGTCCGTGAAGGGCCTTAAACGGCTTCAAGCGCTCAGATAAATTTTGAAGATGATGATAATGATGATGCGGTCTTGCCCGCCATCATCTAGGCAGCGGATTCGAATAATGGTTGTCTGTGCTCTAATTCATGAACCCTGCTATGCATTGAGCATACAAGTACGGATGTGTATCGTAAGATTAAATAAATAAAGATGATGTCTGCAAAAATTTGATTTAGAAGACAGAGATGGTCAAGAATGTGAGTTTTCGAACTATGACAAAGATAGACAGTAGCAGGTCATCTATTGGAAGTTACTGAGGAACCTCAACGTTTATTATCAAATATTATTTTAACGCAATTTTCTTTTACTTTGTTTAAACAAACCCCCATTGCGTCAACAAGCAAATATCATAAAATAACGCATGTGAAATCAGTCTAATTTGCTGTAATGAAGGTCAAGGTGACTTAGAAATCCAAAATTAGAATTCAAGCTCCAATTAAAGGAGATTGGTTCGAATACCGATGTAAAGATAGCGGATTCAAGTTTTAAGCAAAAGAAAGTGGATTATAAAAATTTATCAAATGATAGTGGTTTCAAGCACCAATTAAAGGAGAGTGGGTTCAAGTACCGATGTAAAGATAGTGGGTTCAAGTTTCAAACAAATTGCAGCCAATATAGATTTTTTACAAAAATTATCCGCAAAAAAATGACAACTAATATATTTCAGTTCACGGGCCACAAAAAAAAAGACTTCGCAGGCCGGATGCGGCTCGCTGGCTGTCGGTTGGTAACCACTGATCGAGACCCTTCAGAATATCCCAAATCTCTTGGAGCATGACGTAGTATCGTTGCAAGCTTTTATTGCAATATCTGTGTATGCAGAAAACTTTTGCACTTGCAATTTTTTATGAGAGTTTTCCAGTCTGCATGAAGAGCAAAAGTATTATTTCTTATTGCTTTTTCGCCAGTAATGAGGTGTTAAATTCAAATTTTTCCAACTAAAGTTGAGGTAAGTACGAGGAAAAATTTGAGTACCACCTTTTTAGGTAATTTTATACATATTTATTTAATCTTGGAATCCCATAAATCTTAGAACATGACCAAACCCATTGCATCTCACAGCATCACAATCCCAACGAAATCTCACCCACACCAAATGGATCTCACAGCATGATCAAAATCCAATGCATCTTTCAATATTGCAACTTATATAATTGCAACATTTCGTTAAATTTTGATCATGAAGTACGTCATTCATGGGCGTGTAGACATATAAAAATTCTTGGAATGTGTATTAAAGAACTGGTCTTTCTTGCGACAGCATGTGTAATATGCGCCTCCTTAGCATGAGGATCTGTAATATCCTACTCGAGCAGTATATGGGTCATTCTCACGAAAACTGTCATTTTTCAGTTCATAAAATCCCAAAAAAGTAAAGTGAATAAAAAGCTCTGAAACTTTCTATATTAATAGAAATATGTAATGGCATTATAAAGAAAGTATATATCCTATAAATTATACTTAATATTTAAATTAATTAATTTTTTAAATAATTAATTTATAATTATTAATTTATAATAATTAATAATTAATTAATTAATTTAATAAATAAATTAATTAGTTTAATAAATCAATTTATTAATTTATTAATTTATTTTTCAAATTAATTAATAAGTAAATTAATTATTTTCACTATTTAAAAAGTGAGGGAATGACACTAATAGTGAGGGAATGATATTTTATTTTAATACATGTTTTTATCTAAGTTACATCTACCTAAAGTTTGAAAATGATAACATACTAAGTATATCTAATATTTATTATAATTTAGTCTTATATATTTAATAGTTTTTACAGGTTTGGGAAATAAAATTGGCTGGCACGATTGAACAAAAAAAAATTTAATAATATACTCATCTTGAATCATTCCCTCACTTCAGCGTCATTCCCTCACTTTATACACTAGTGAGGGAATGACGAATTCAATAAAATTTAAAAATAACAGTTAGGCCTAATTAATTTCTGAAGTCAATCACATACAATTATATTCATACAAGAAAGCAACATATAATTATCCACTTTCTCGATGAAGTTGTATTTTATTTTACTCTAAAAAATGACATGAGGGAATGACAAATGTAAAAAATTTTACCTGGTTTGATTCATTCAAATTTATTCCACAGCAAAGCTTCTTTAAGTTGAAGATGGAAACATACTGCAATTTTGTTCTATGATGCCAGTTGTTAACTTCTGAAGTTTTTATTAAAATATTTTTATTCTAAGAAGATTGCAGGTGATAAGAACATTGTTGTGAGGGAATGACGCGAAACACTGGGGACAAAGTTTAAAATAGTGCTGTGTTAATATTTTTATCAGAAATTAAATTTAAAATTTATTTTCTGAATTCTATATTTCAATATTCTCAAATAAAAAACACAAATTTGTAAAAAAAAAAATTTTATTTCAGAAACAATTTTTTTCTTTTTTTAAATCAGCAGTGGGGACAAGTGAGGGAATGACATATTGGTATATTTTTATTACCTAAAATTAATAAAAAATAAAAATTGATAATTTTATTTTTATTCTTTTGTTAGCTTGCATTCTGAAGGACACTTTCCCTGAAAATTTTTTTTCGTAAGTTGTAAAACAAACATAAAATATACTGGGGACATGAAAATGACTGTTTTTGTGAGAATGACCCATATAAGGAGCAACGATTCAGAGAGAGAGCATCTTGTTCTTCAAATCATTTCTCGAAGAAAGCTATCGAACAATCATGGGTAATAGTCGAGAAAATCGCAAAATCCTCCAACTCTATGGATTTGCCACAGATGAAAATTTCCAAGTTGGGAAATGTCTGCCATTTCCATCATGGAGGAGGAGCAAATAAACATCAAATTCTCAGTGGGCCATCCCACCAACACCAAAGACATTCAGTCTGCTGAGTTTGTGTTTGAAAGTCAGCATGGACTGGCACTTTTTTCAAAACCGACAGAGTTTCCTCAAGAGCAAAAGGATTTGAAATCTATATTGCTCAAAATATATTTAAAAATGCTGCGATTATATCCTGCTGGTAACCGTCTAGCAATCAAAGGGTGCCCGTATATTGCAAATATATTACAAAAGCTTGGTATATCCTTTGTGGACATGATTCGATTTAATACTTCCTTGGATTGATACGTTCACGTCCTGTGGGCATCACCAAAGACTGATGATGGACAATTGCAGAAATTCCAAAGTTTCTGCGTACCGCAGGTGGCTAAAACATGATTGTGATTTGTTAGATTTTTCCATCCCTTTTCCAAAAAAATGGGGGAAGGCCTCTGTTGAGCACGTTCCCCCATTTTTTTTTACAACACTTGTATTTCCAAGATAGAAAATTTCATTGTTTGACACTACGACAATTGCTTTTTAGAGGTTTTAAAGGGTCGATTGTTTTCCTCTAATCACATAGCTTATTCTTATGACTCCAATATGTGGAAAGAACAAGGATGACGATTGTAAAAACTTAATATAATTTTACTAAAACTTAACAACAACTTTGTGCGACTGATCGCTGACGGGATACTATCTGTAATGGATAAAAATCCTTAATTCCGGCCTCTCTCAGGCTAGGCTAAAGAGGCACAATTTGGGGATTTAAGACAAAATTAGATTTTCCAGATGGTTTCTCAAGGGAATCGCTACAGATCTCTACAGATTTATCGGCTTTCTGTTTTGAAGGCATATATTAGAGGTTTTTGATCTGTATAGATAGAAAACACTCTGACTTCAAGCATATGCTTAAATTTCTTTATAGATGAATAAATAGCCAATAACTGACGATCATATGTAGATCAATTAATTTGAGATTTGCTCAATTTCGTTGAATAAAAAGCTATATGTTCCCACTGTTTTTCTGATATCTGCATAAGGGATCCGCCAACAGCTTCACTCGATGCATCTACCCATAAACTTAACTGGGCACCTGGAATAGGGTGTCTAAGAAGGGTTGCTTTAGCCAGAGCTTGTTTTGAAGCAATGAATGCTTTATTTGCATCGTCATTCCATTTTAAATGCTCCGTATCGGTAGCTTTGGAACGAGGATGTTTTTTCGCTTTTTTGTGACCCTCTAAAAATTTAATTAAAGGTGCAAGAATATCAGCAGCTTTGGGAATACATCTGCGATAGAAATTAAATAGTCCTAAATAGCGACGCAATTGGGTTAATGTTTGGGGTTGGGTAAAATCAAGAATATATTTTACTCTATCAGGTAGCGGTTCGATACCCGCACTGGACAATTTAAATCCTAAGAATTCAAGAGTGGATACACCATACTGACATTTTTGCGTATTTATGCCAAAGTCCATACTCATCTAATTTTACAAATAATAAATCCAAATTATGCAAATGTTCTGCCTCATTATCCGATGCAACTAATAAGTCATCAATAAATGCGTAAGCGAATGGTAAGTCACTAATGACCTCATCAATAAAGCGTTGAAAAGTTGACGATGCATTGGTACGATCATATTGCATTCGTAAACTTTCATACAAGTCAAATGGTGTGCAGATAACAGTTTTGTTCACATCTGCAGGATTCAGGGGCGGATTAAGCTCACGCAGGGCCATAGGCCATTCAAATTTTTGGGGCCCTTAGATTAAATTTTTTTCTCGTATATTTTTTATTTATTCGAATATAAAAGTATTTATAGATCTTTTCATTTAAGAAATCATATTTAAAAATAAAATAAATAATAATAAATTAAATTTTACTTTATTTTACTAAATTAGAACTAAAAAATAATCATAACATTTTGAAAAAAATTTGAAAAATCATTTTTTTTTCTTAATTTATTTTCAAAAAATCCATTTTAAGGGGGCCCGTAATCATTGGGTGCCCCAGGCCATGGCCTAGTCTGGCCTAATGGGTAATCCGGCCCTGGCAGGATTAATTGGAACTTGATGAAATGCTTTGACAACATCAATATGGCTATATACTCGTTTACCATGCAATTCAGCTGTGAAATCAGTTATATGAGGGATTGGATATTTATCTTTTATTGTTTGTGCATCAAGAGCACGATAACCCCCGACAGGTCTCCATTGAACAGTATTTTTTGGGTACCATATGTAAAGGTGAAGAAAATTGGCTTTTGGTTGGTCTCATATGGCCTAATTCCTGCATTGAAATTCATGCTTGGCACTTTTAAGACGATCCGGCGCTATACGTCTCGGTTTAGCTACAACTGGAGGACCTTTTGTGTTAATAAAATGTACAGTGTATTATGTTTCACTGGTTTACTAGGATCAGGAAGTTTAGTAATATTGGGATATTTTAATAATAGTTTACCATATATATTATTTCAGTAACTGATTTCACAGAAAAAATGGAACAATTATATAATTTAGCATGCACTTTTAAATTTGTATAAGCATCAATTAATTTTTTATTTCGGAGATCAGGAGCTAAATTAAAATTATATAGAAAATCTGCTCGAATTATTGAACAGGAAACATCACAAATATAAAAAGAAAATGAAAATGGCCTCCTTAAACCCAAATTAAGTGTTAAATTTCGTTAATTAACGTGCCATTGGCAGCACGAAACGTTTAAATTACGGGATATTGTTTTTCTTTTTTGGTTGCCATAATTAGAGATGCGCCACTACCGGAATCAATCAAAAATGATTGACCCGAATTCTTATCCATAATAAACATACGGCGAGATTGATTGGAAGGCAAGAAATTACTCGTCGCTATTCCTTGATTTTTGAATTTTTCGAATTTTTGAAACTTGATTTGAATTTTTGAAACTTGATTGATTGACCACTTGATTTTTTGAAAATTCATAAAGTGCACGCATTTACGTGCGTTTTCCTGGAATTTACGATGATATAAGCATAACTTCGTAGCACTATTTCCAGATGTTGTTGTTGTTGTTGTATTTCATTTACATCGCACTAGAGCTGCACAATGGGCTATTGGCGACGGTCTGGGAAACATCTCTGAGGATGATCCGAAGACATGCCATCACACTTTTGATCCTCTGCAGAGGGGATGGCACCCCCGCTTCGGTAGCCCGACGACCTGCACGCAAAGTCGAGCACTTTACGGTAGAACAGTTTAACAAAGACCAATACCGCACACCCTCGGTCCCTACGCAGACTGACCCAAGTGGTCACCCACCCGCACACTGACCGCAGCCAGTGATGCTTGACTTCGGTGATCAGCTGGGAACCATGTCTTAACGATCAGTCCACTGCGGGACCACTATTTCCAGAAGCAGTGGAAGAGGAATGAGCACGCGAAGAGCTTCGAGTATCATTTCGAAACCGAAACCTGCTCTTGCTTCGAAGAAAATTCACCTCCTTCCGTAATGATTTTACTTCCTGGTACAGCTGGGAGAGAGAAATATCATTCACCCCCGATGAAGAAGGAGAGAGAACGGGGTGTTGATCATCCCGCTGGGTTGTGGAACTCTTAGATGAATGGAGTGAGGGAAGTGGGGATCGAGTGAGGATTCGAGATCGCTAAAATCCTGTCAGCAACTTCGGCAGCTTTCTCCGTTGACAAAGGGGAAATAGAAGCTCGATTGGTTAAATAATTCGAAAAGCAGTTCGTCTTCGATCTTGTGATTCTCCGCTCTGCGTTTCATATCCCGCAAGAGCTCAGTTGATTTTCTATCCCCAAGAATTTCCCCGACCAGTACACGTCGGATCTCTTATGTTTTTGATTCTCCACAGTTTTCGATGATTTTGGATTATAAGTTCATGTAGGGATCAGTGACATCCAGTTGCATAATCACGTCTCTCACGATCGTCGCCGATTTCGGTGGCAAATGAGCGATAACGTAATTATATTTTGTCTTCGCTTCTGAGATTGCTTTAGGAGCTGCAAACGTAAACGTCGACTCCAGCTTAAAGGAGCAAAGGGCGGGGTCAGCTCGGATGAAAGGAGGGATGACTACGGCTGCGGCGTCACCCATTGTTCTGAATCAGAAATTTTATTATTTCATAGTCCGGTCACCAATTCAGAGGTTTTAAAGGGTCGATTGTTTACCTCTAATCACATAACTTTTTCTTATGACTCCAATATGTGGAAAGAACAAGGATGAGGATTGTAAAAACTTAATATAATTTTAATAAAACTTAACAACTGAAGAGGCACAATTTTGGGTGTTGAGACAAAAATAGATTTTCCAGATGGTTGCTCAAGGGAATCGCTACATGTTTGTAAATGACTTGTACACCCCCATTGTTGTACAACACGTGTATTGCCTAAATTTGAAAATTTTGCTATTTGAACGAATAAAAATTTTTTACAACAGATTTCCAAACACATTATTGTGTTTGCAAATCAATCCTCAGCGGATGCGATGCAACCGGTCGCGGGGATGCGCGGTGGTCATTTGAGTGCAGTGAGAATTTTCCAAGATTCAAACACACCGTGGACCTTGTCGTTTGCGTTAGTGAGTTTTTTTGAAGGGGCCACGGTACTCAGGTATTTTTTCGAGTGACTGTAAAGCATATATTTAATCTTTCGTAAACCGGTTGATTGAAATTTTAAGCTTTCTTAAGTTGGTAGTGGAAACAAGGTTTCAGGCAAACATTGCATTCAGGCGAGTGATGATTGGCCCTTTTCATAATGTGGTTATTTTTCGCCTCTTGATGAGGTTTTCGATACAAATGTAAACGAAAACAAATATCGAGCTCCTTACCTTCACTTTTTTTGGTTAGAAAGCTTACAGCTGATTATTACAATTTATTGTGCTTAGGCTATATTTTCAAACAAATTATTTTGTTTTCAAGAAAATAAATAGATAATATAATTCCAGAGCTTAAATGAGCTGCATTTCATAAGGTATTAATGCTATTAAATAGTTATGTTGAAATTTAAGTGAAAACTGTCCTGTTTTGGCTTCTTTTGACTTGTTTAATACTTATTGATATTGTTGCGTCGTGCATTCTTTAATGTCAGAATTTACAATGTTTAATTGAAGTGGCGAAACAAAATTTATTTTGCAAATTATCATTTAGATTTGAAATTCGCAATTAGAACATTGTTGTCGAGGTAATAAAATGTCTTACAAGAATTTTTATTCAAATATGAATTTTAAGTTCTCATTATCTTTCTAATCACTTATTTATCTTTTCACTATTTAATTATTTGTGAACAAATTAAGCCAAATGCTCTAAAATTCACCGGATACAAAAACACGTTCATACGGGAGGTACAGAGCTTGTAGCGTCACCTAGTGTAGAAAACACCATCTAACTTTGAAAGTTTGACAAGCTTTTATCTGACTTGTGACGTCAGAAGACTGCTTTCAGATACTTTTTTTTTGTCCTAGTATAAATAGGGTGTTAGTCATTTAAGGACCTTTTTCACTGAATGTGGTTCACGAATGATCAAATGATATTGAGAATTCGGAGGAAAAAATTTTCCCACGAAAAAGGCACTAATCAGGTTTTCCACTACCGCAACTGAAATGGCCCTGCATTTACGCTTTAGAAGGTACCTAAAACAATTGATCTACATAAGCTATAAGCGTAGCACGGAAGCAAACAGCATGGCTGCATAATCGAGCATGGAATAAGAGTGGTCCTGATTCCTGTGTAGTTTTTTATTTATATGAAAAGAAAGACGCCGCAGCTTGCTATAAAGAGAGTACGATTTCAAAGATACAGCGGTAATATATTGATGGATCCAGCTGTTGGTTGGTTTCAACCTGAACAGAAAGGTCCGGCACTACGGTTGTGGTCTGAAATTTGGAGTTGTCATCAAAGTACTGTGAGTAGTTCAGAAGATCGAAAAACTCTGTTAAGGAAAGAAAATAAAGCTTGCACATTTGCTTTAAATCAAAACATAGAATTGACTCTACAATGTGGTGGAACACCATGGAAAACAGAAAATAAAATGTACAGTTATGGCACACTAGGGTATATCTTTATTCTACTTTTATATGCTATTTTGATTTACTATTCTCTTTGCACATTTAGACTATGCCAACTGAAACAATCAAAGTAATGTTCGTTTCAATTTTCTTTTCCATAACTTAAATTGTAAAATAAGTCGGAATTTATGATCATACTAACATTAGAATGCTATATACATATTTAAAACTGTAAAGGGAATTGCCTTTTTTTTTTTTGTTGACTAAAATACTAATCCCTTTTGTCATCAGAATGTAAAAAGTACTATTCAGGCAAATATCTAATCCCACCTATGAAAGAATAACGAATGAAAACAGGAAGGTTTCCTTAATGGTTTAAGCCAGTTTTGTTTGAGGATGTAACTAATGAATTGTAAACTTGTAAAAAACTATTTATGTATATCCTACGAGTTGTTCCGTTTTTTTTTCTTGTAGAATTTTGCTTAAATGTTGGCATTTATTTTGGTGTAGGTATAAATATGAAGATCTTTCTCTTTTCTTTTGCTATTGTAAAACACTATGATTATTGTGACAGACTCATTCTTATGTTATGGATGAAAAAAAAAGAGCTGAAGTTGCTTTTCTGGATAATTTATTCGTGACATTTATTTTCACAATATCTTTTGAAGTTTTCTGTATTAATACCCCCTTAAAAAAGTTGCAGAAATTTAAAGAAGTGTCACTGTACACAAGAAAAAAATATAGCTTAATTGTGGACCAGCTTGAAAGATTTAAAACTAGTAGCAACTCTCAAAGAATCTATTGCATATTTTTTCTTAAATTTTTGCATGAAGAGTCGCAGAAAAGCTGTTTTTTTTTTTAAATTCTTGGGCGACCGGTTTTTATTAAAAAGAGCCAGCCTTTTCAGCGTTTTTCTTCCTTAATAAACATCTGTGCTTTTGATGTCATTGAATTAGTTACTATTTAATAAAAAATCTAACTTAAAATTTTTTATGAAATTCAAATCACACATATAATATCAATGTATTAGGGTGACCCGAGGTAATTCACAATCACTCTGTTTCTGGGGTAAATAATGATCACCTAAGTTTTATTTTAAAAAAATTATTTTTTTCTAAATTTGAGACATGGACAAGAATGCTTGTACACTTTACTAAAGTATAACTATGTTTACTTAATAATAATTTTTTGTTTAATCTAACAAAATAAGTATCTTTTAAACTGCTTTCTGTATTTTCCATTTCAAAGATGGGTTTCAAAATGTGCATATTTCTGCAAAGATCTCCCTCATTCTCTTAATAATAAATATCTTGAGTTACTTTCTTTTTCTTTGATATAAAAGTAGTGTAAGCTTTTGTTTAATTGTTTCACATCAACTGTAAACATTATAATTGGTTATAGGAAACTAGATCAAATGTTGCCCCCTACAGATGGGGTAATTATTGATCACTGGGGTAATTCCTGATCATTGTAATTTCTTCTTATAAATAGTATATAAAATAGCTTATAACTAGCTAATTGTCTTTTCTTAAATAACAGTTCATATTTATTAAGTGGAATTTTTGTTTTGAACAAAATTTGTTTTTAGCTGTATACAAGACTGTATTCTGATTTGCACTATTTCTGGTTTGTCTTACCTTGCTTCTATCTTAATTTTATGTGTGTACATCGTTAGAATAATTTTTAAGTTCATAAATTAGCTGAGTATAAATATGGTGAGAAATTATAAGCCTAAAAAGGATACTAAGCTTCTGAAAAACAAAATTAGTGAATTTCTTTCAATGATTGAAAATAAAAATTTCATTGTGAGAGCTGCTACCAGAGCTGTTGGCATACCTTACTTAACTTTACACTTTCCCTTAATGAAGTTAAAAAATCCAGCAAAAGTAACCCATGTGGGAACTCTCTTATATTTCAGAAGAACATGAGAATGAGTTGGCTGATTGCCTAAAATGTAAAACATGATGCAAAGATTTTTGAAGATTTAAAGTGTTAATCGTTCTTCTTGCTTTTAAATAAGTCGTTTTATTAGCTGCTTAAACATATCTTTTTGGTTTATTTTTTGATCTTGATGTCTTATTTGTTAATTACCATTATACAATTATTTTTAAACAGCCCCTTTACAATAAAAACTGGTGATCAGTAATTACCCCAGAAGTGATCAGGAAATACTCCAGAAATGATCAAGACTAGCGGTAATTCCTGATCACTAAAAATTTAAAATCTTTTTAAATTCTAATTAAATTTTCAAACAAAAGAAGTTGGCATAGGACTCATCTCATATAGCCTCAAACTTCCAGTAAATATTAAAATTCTATTTTGAACAGTTTTTTCACAAAATAGATGTTTGCGTTTTTTGATCAGGAATTACCCCAGGTCACCCTATAATAGCAAATGTGATAGAAATATTCGTTACCTATTAAGACTTGTATTAAGTCTCATTGACTTATTAGATATTTTCATGTCTCTAAAATTACAGACATGACTTTAAATTTCTTAAAATAATACTTGCCTTTAGAATTATTTTAGTTTTTATTTGCATGCTAAACTCAGCGGCGCGACAGCCTTTGAGGGCCAAGGCCTACTGTGTCCATCTCAGTTTTCAGAGTAAGATTTATTCGAAATAGTAATAAAATTATATTTGGCTGTAAAAGTTGAGGAATTGATACTTATAAGTATCAATTCCTAAGTAGTTTAAAATTATTGTTCTTAACACTTATAAAATTAAAAGCTGTTTCAAAAGGTAAAAATTGCTGCTCCATATTGTTCTTATCTATACAAACTAGTGTAATTAATTAAAAATATCTTACTTCTTTCATTTTATCTCTGTTTTTAAAAAAAATATTTAGCTTGCAGGGGTCTGCCCAGGCCTAATTTACTACCGTTTAGCGGTACCTTCACAAATTCAACTTTAGGAAAAACGGTAGTTTCACAAATTCAACTTTATGAAAAACGATAGTTTCACAAAATACTTTTTCTTAAAATTTTATTTTTGTATCCCTTAAGAAACGATAAACGTGTTTCGGATAATTGGACGTTCAGATAATAAGGGTTCAGATAATCAGCGCTCTACTGTATTTGTAAAGAAGGTTGCCAATGGAAAGTTTTAATTTTTTAATTGGTCTTACCTTTTTTTCTCCTGAGCCTTTGCCTGATTATAGTCTTTTATAATTTTAAAGTGCTGTAGCAGTTAAGCAAATTATGTAAAATTTAAATGATTATTTTTACTATTTTTTCAAAAGCCATTTTTGAAAGAGTAGTTTGCTGTTTCTGGAAAAGTAGAGGAATTCGTTCACTGATCAGGAGAAAATTATCAAAACACACTGCTGGTACTTTGATTGAGAGGCAAAAGTGCTTTCCATTACAAGTGGATTAGGTACTTGCTGTTTTTTCCACTCCAATGATCTTGATGAGGGAACAAAGAACGCAACTTTGTTAATCATCTATCCAGATGGGCAGTATTTTTTTCTTTTCCAACACCAATAAACAGATATAAATAATAATATTGAGCATGTGAAAGCTGTTTGCAAAAAGATTGTCACTATCGTAAATTTTTTTTTAAATTCATTATTATACAATAGAAGTTCTGATTGTTACAATATACTGATTTGTAGATTAGGCTCAAAGAATATGTAATTTGATTATACATTTTACATGTATACAATCTATGATAAAAAAATATACAATATATATAAGTGCTCAAAATTTCTATACACACTTATCTATATCTATGTACGCACACGTATCTATAAACATATCTTTCCATTCACAGTTAATTTTAGAAAAATCTGATTCAATAACTGAAAATTTGGTAAATTAATAATAGTTTTATATCATCAAATAACTACTAAATTTAAAGAAAAGTGTACTGGTATGTATAATAATTAATATTGAGATTTTAAGAAAATTCTCTTTAAGGTTCGGCTATACTGCCTCTGCTCAACATTTCTCTCTAATAAACTTTATTTTTGTATAATTATTGTAGGATATTGAAGGATTCTTAGAATTTTAAATAAGCATGTTGCATTAACATTATTATTATAAACTTTTTGTTATTTTTATTTTACTAAAATGAATGATCAATGTCTTTATTGTTAATTGTCAAAGTTTAATTCTCCAAATTCGCTTCTAATTAACTTTGAAGTATGAATTGTAAATTGTATTGATGCTATGTACAAAATACCTGTCACAATTTATGATTAATATTCCGTGATTTATGAATCATAATTGCACTTTTTTTTAAATCAGAGTTTTGCTATTTATATTGAACTGGTACAAACTACTTATAATTTAATCTTGGTTTCTGAGTCAAATCAACCGCATTTCATATTTAAAAGGAAAAAAAAACGTTATTCGTATTCACACAATTCTAAAATCACTCACAGTTTGTTTCCTAGCAATTTAGATTTAAGATATCGCATTTCATATTCACAAGATTTTAAAATCACACCTATCGATTCACACTAGCGTTATTGGTAAAGAAGAATTAAACTTTTTAATTAATTTTCTTGAAATTATAAGTTTTATTTATTGATTAGTAGACTTATTAGTTTATTTATTGATTAGTTTTATTTATTGATTTGACATTTTTATTTCATAAAATAATATGGCTTATAATTTTGATTCTTTTCATTCATTTATACTTTATGCATTAAAATTTCATAAAGTGGGATTAGTAAGAAAGGCATCTATTTCTTTTCATTTATGAAAATTTTAATTACAATTTATAACTTTCTATACTCTGAAATTGAGAACAATAAATGAATATATATGTATATGGTCCTTAATTCTCTTATGCTTTTTTCCTACTGAAATGTCATGTATTTTTTCATGAATCACACCATCAATATATGGATTATAATAATTTTTTTAATAAGATTTCTTCTTTATTTGTAAAATATTTCACTCGCTTGTTTTTGCCAGTGCTTTCAATAATTATAAGAACTTGTAAATGTTTAATATGTTGTGTGAGCTTAGTCAGGGAAAATGAATCCGTTGATCAGGAAATTTTGGCATAGAAAATCCTGTACATCCTGTGATACACTTTATTTATAAGCAAGATAGTTTTCAGTAGTAATCCTACCAGGGTTCCCACGGGTCAGGGAGAATAGGGAAAACCTGGAATTCTCAGGGAATTTTATTTTGACTCCAAAAATCAGGGAAGGTTGCAATTTTCTTACAAAAGCCTGGAAAATTCCTTCATTATTCCTGGGAAAAAAAACCAGTCTGAAATTGTCAGTAACAATATTTGATTATTGACATTCGAGTTAAATAATACTAACATCTATTACAATTATTTATTGTAAAAATTTTAAATTTTAGACATACTTAAATGCTTCCTTCCTTATATAATGATATTTATTTTTCACAAAAAATCGAATACCTGGCATAACAAATAAAAGAATCAATTTTCTGATGAAAAATTTCGTAGTATAGATAAAATATGGTATGGATTTTCATTGAAATTTACCTGGAAAAGTCAGTGAATTTTTTTTTCTGAAATTGAGTGGGAACTCTGTCCTACAATAACTTTTAGTTGTTGTGCAAGGAGATAATGTTTTTCAACAATTTAGTAAATCCAATTGATGTACCTAACTTGTTATAAAATTTCTATTAATCATTTTTCTTTTGCAGATATTGCAATCAAAATTGGTTATTTAAATTTAAATCTGCAAATCATAAAATATGTAGCTCTGTCTTTTGTTATTGATAAATTTGATCATCACTGAAATCTTTGATTGAAATCAATGCTTTAATTTTTTTTTTTTTAGTTTACATGAAGAAATAGAAGAATTTTATCAGTATATATCACCAAATTTTGCTGAACACAATGTTAGACTTGAAGTAGTAGAACGAATAACAAACATAATTCTTTCTATATGGCCTCATGCACAGGTACTATAAATATTTTTTCTCTTTTTTGCTTTGTGTGTTCTACTTATAGATAAATACTGTGAAATATATATTGTATATCAAAACTACATTGTGGAATTTGTCTCATGGGAAAACTCATCTTAGAGGGGACTTAATGAATAGCGTACTTTGTTAAAAGAAATGAAAAGTGTCAAACTTGATTAAATAAATACAAAAGCAATGAAAACTAATTGCTTAGAAAAGCAAATTTCAGGCTTAAGAGGGCTTCTATTTTCTCTTAATAAATATGTTTGTTATATTTGAATATATCACCTTTTTTTTTCTCCCTCTATAAAAAAAATCTTAAAACCCAGAATGCCTTCCACCTTCTGTTCACTGACAAGGACGTGCTATGCATTTCCTCCTCATAAATTAAAGTGAAAACAAAAGCAGCATGTCGCTTCTTTACATTGGATTGACGACTGCATATTGAAAACCACTGATTCTTTCCCATTCACAGGAAAAAATAAAGAATTTGTTCTTTCCCCACCCATTTACGATTTAAAGGACTTCAAAGTAAATAACAAAATATTAAAGTTTTCTTTGGACACGCAGGAAGAAAAACATCCTCGACCATTCACTTTACTCAACTTAAGAACAACTGAAATTTTTGCATTTTGCCTCAATTGTTTTAGCTCAAAATGGCCCCTGCCTTAGTCAGGCTCTGAGTTCAATTGTTTTTTTTTTTTTTTAATTTAAATTTTTTTAATAAAAAAGCATGGAATATTATGAATCTTCTAAGATCCATTCCCTTTTTTTTTCAGGATGGAGGTTTTCTTCAGTTAAAATGAACCTTGGTTCTGCGAACTAGCAACTTGCTACTAAAATAAATAAATAAAAGAAATAATTAAAAATATAAATTTGGAGTATAGGTAGTGAGAAAAAAATAGGTTAAATAAAGAAGCTAAGCATGAACTATATTACAGCACATTTTCTTTTCTTATTTTGTGTAGGTCGAAGTGTATGGAAGCTTTCGAACTGGTCTCTATTTGCCAACTAGGTATAAATATTAATATGATTGTTTTGAATCTTACTTTTCTTGTATATTACATTTGTACTTTTTTCTTTCAAATCAATGTTGGCTAAATAGGCTGTCAAACCTAAGATTACTATTAGATATGGGAAAAAAAAGACAGTAATTACAAATAATATGAAATAATTTGTTATTATTTTTTTTATAAGTATTGTTATTCGCAAAGGAAGTGAACTTCCACATATAATGGGTCCTACAAAAAAGGAAAGCTAGGATAGCTTTTTTTTGTAAGGGGGGAGGGGACTGGTAAAATTTAATTATATTTGTATCTTTAATAATAAACTTGAAGTTCATAGAATGAAAATATTTTTTTTTCATAATTATTGTTTATTGTAATAAGTTATATATTGTTTTTGTAGAATAATAATTAGTTAATGAATAATTCATAATATAATTAATAATATAGTTAAAGTAATAGTTAATATCTAATACAAATGTTAGTTTTTCATATCTATCGCTAATTATATTAACAAAATAATTTATCTTAAAATGAGTAATCATTTAGTGATTTAGATACTTTGTTTGGCCAACAAATCTGCAAAGCAATTTAAATAGATTTTATTTTAGTGTATTAATCTCTCACAACTTCATTAGCTTAATCAAATAATCTTCGAATAAGTTACAATTTTTTTAACACAATTCTTTAAGTCTGTCCTTTATTTTTAAATGCTCTTTTTGGGAATGAAATATAAATATGGTTAATATTGTTGTAACGGTAATTGGAATTGACAAAACTTTATTAAATTTAATTATTACATTGCACTGTGTTAGTTTTTTTACAATTAATATCTTTTCATTACCCATTACAGCGAAATACGTAAGGCTACTAAGCCAAAATAAATTGACTAGTAAAATTAGCATTTTTAAAATAAACCTTTGCAATTAGCTGAAAGAAAACATAGTTAACCTTAGTAATGAATTGTGTGGGAAATAAAGAACTCATATCCGATCTGATGTATCTAGTTTAAATATTTATTTAAAGAAATTAAGAATAAATTATTCAAATTAGTTTACAATGAAAATATTAATAAAGGCTGCCATATAATTGACATTTCAGTTCGAATATCGAATGGAGAATAATCATAATTATAAAATTATTTAAAAGAAGTATGTATGGGCACATAAAAAAATATTATCTTTTAATAACCATGGTCCGAGCGCGTGACTGGCCACCCTCGTCATGGTACCGCAGCTGCAGGTTTGTGAACATCTTGGGAATAAAACGCAAGGCATGCAAAAGAAAAGAATATGTTTTTTTTTTTGTTTTGTTTTTTTTAAGCTTTCCTCCGCGCAAAAACGGCGTTTCAGTCGTCCACACATTTTCACCTGTAGGACAATTCACTTTCGAAGCAGGGGAGAAGGGAAATATTTAGGATGGTGTTATTGAACTTAATGTAATAAACTAAAAGTTAAAGGAAATACAAAATGAGATAAATAAAATTAAATATGCAGTGCCCAAAAGAAAAAAAATTGTGCCCATAATTAATTAAAAAAATAGTGCAACTTCTAGTTACAATTTATAAAAAAAAACATATGAACATAACAATATTAAGGTAAAAAATAATAAATTTAATACCTGAAATTTTATACAGAAAAAAAATAGAAAATTATCAAATTAATTAAATGTGAAAATTAAACAAAATGCCATGTTCCATAATTCATTGTACAAAGTTTAACATTAATTATACATCTTGAGTAAATTCCTATTCACAAAATGTTTTCTAACACATGATAAAATTATAACTAGACATTACGTCACTTATAATTTCAGTACTCTATATTTGTCAGAAAATGTTGTATTAATATTTCGATTCATATCAAAACATACACATCTGAGAAAATAATGCTATTTAAAACTATGCCATAACTGCTGTTAGACAAAATAATGATAATAAATAGTTTTTATAAATATATATGGAGAATTACAATCTTAGTTTTCAAAGAGTAAATAGAATATATATTTTTTCATAATTTTATATTTTTCATCTGTTACAGGGCTGCCAATTACATTGCTTTTTGCAAAATATTTTATAGAGTGGTAGACAATAAAATACTTATGCTTTCAAAATTTTTGGTAATTTTGCCATCAATTTAAAAAAGCCTCACCATGATAAAGCTGCTATGAAGTTATGAAGTGTTGTTTCATATGAACATGATCATTTACATGCAGTAAAGAGGAGAATAACTTTAAATTAAATTTACTAAACAAAGAATAATACATTCAAACATAAATTTAGCTACCACTAGAAGAAGTTTTGCCAGAAAGTGTGGAAAGTTGGCAACCCTGTCTGTTATTCTGATACTTTGCTAATAATCAGTTATTCTGCAACAAATGAGTTAATTTAATATTTTGTTTATTAGTGATATTGACTTAGTTGTGATTGAGAAAAAGGACATATCATTCAGAGCCCTAGAAAAAGCCCTATTAGAGAACAATATTGCTAAGGCAAGCTCCATCAAAGTTTTGGACAAAGCTTCTGTAAGTAATTTTATAAAATGCTTGTGTTTTTTTTTGGGGGGGGGGCATTCATAAGAAGAAATTCTATTTGATATCTCAATATCAAATCTAAGTTTTAGTGTACAGAAAATTTTTTCTGCTCTGAAGATGAGAAAAATTGAGATTTGAAGTACAGCCTTAGTACTTTTTAGTAGAAATCCACTGAACAATTGCATAATGACAAGAAATGTTTCTGCATTAATAGAATACTTAATAATGAAAATAAAAATAGGAGAAGACTCAAAAATATAAAACCAGTCTAGACATTCTCCTTTTCCTCTATTTATCCACAAGCAAATTGCAGATATCTTCAAAGCATTGCAGTTTATTTCTAAACATCCAATTCAAAATTAAAAAAATAAATACAAAAATATACTTATGCTTTTAGCTTGCTTAGCTTTACAGTAATATACATAGCTTTAAAAAGCCTATTGTTTTGATTCTCTAAATCAAACTATAGCTCGAGCACAAAACAGAATGCATTCATAACTCTCTAAATGCATGCAAGTAGGTTATTTTTACTTTATCTCAATAATATTAATAGCAGTCTTAAATTTGCTCTTAAGTTTTAAAATTTAGAATTCTTATACTTAACTAACAATGTTTTTTCATTATTGTTTGAAAGTTAACAAAAAAGTGAACTAATTATGTAATAACATAACCAAATAAATCAAACACATTAAAAGTAATTATAGGACAGTAATTACAAAACATTAATTTTCATTTCTTTAATTAAACTATTCATTTTGTACAAATCAAAAAACTTTTAATAACTAGGAAGAGTTTTTTAATGTAACATTAAGCTTATTGACCCTTTAATGAATGGTACTGCAAAAAAGAGTACTGTTCTGTAAAGAAAATAATCCTTCGTAACCTGAAAGTTATATTTTGTTCAACTAGAGCCATCAGTAGTGTTTTATTGGCCCTTTTTGCACTTAGGACAGTAATTACACAAGAGTTAAAGATGCAGAGAAAATGAGGTGAAGAACAAATTATTCTAAAAATGTTGATGATACGTATTCAAGTAGACAGTCATACTATATCAGAATATGTATGCACTTGTCTCTGTAACTCTTTCATAATATAGTAAATTACTTAAAAAATTCGGAAATATATGTTGGGGACATGGGACAGTGATTAATGAAATTTTACCTATATTTTGTTTTTAAAAGTGTATTTTAAATACGAAATGTGTCAGGTGTATATTTTTTTAAGCAAAGCATTCCATTAATAAATGAAAATAAATATTTTAATGAGAATTATTGCTTAAGAATGCAAAAATTAATTTTATGTTTGGTAAGCAAGGATTCTAAAATTATAAATTCTTAGAAAAGTTTAAAAATTTATAAAATATTTTTCAAATTAAGGGTAAATTTGACTAAAAGTTTTTCATGTCACATTTAAGCTTCTATAATAAATTGTAGTGCATAAATTTCAAGATCAATTTATTTTTCTAGAACAATACTGGGATATTGATCTAGAAAGAAATTAATTTGAAATTTATGCATTTAATAACTTGTGTTTCAAACTAAAATCTTAAAAAATATTTAAATGAAAAAAAACAGTGAAATAAAACTAAATACTTAATAGAACTAAATACATTGTATAAGAAAAATTCTAAGTATTCTTACTTAAAGTCTGATAAAATTAATGAATTCAAATTTAGATCTTGGCTTTTAGTTCAAAACATCTCTACAAAATTTACATTCTAAATGTCAAATAATTCTATACTAAACTTTTCGTAATGGTTGTTAGTGTAAGGAAATTTTCTCATTCTAAAAATTTCTCAATAACATTCTACATAAAGTGCATGAAAATTCTGACAGCAAAAATAATTAATAATTTTATTTGTCATAAAAATGTAATTTACTCAGATAAATAAGGGTTCAAATACTCATAGCAAAACTATGTTTTAGTTTCCCCTGTGTGAGTTTACTTCTGGTTTTACTTTTGTCTAGCAGCTTACAAATGAAAAAAAATCATTTCTAAAATTCAGAGATAATAATTTTAAAGGGTTTTGGAAAGCTTATAAACTGAAGTTTAAGTATGGATAACGAAAGGAAAAAAAATCTAAATTTTCTTTCGAAATTGACGATTTACACCCAGTCGGATATCATAATAATCAAAATAATTCTCTTCACTTAGCTGTCACAACTGTAAGAAACCTATAACTCATGTGTTGAGAGTTATAAAACTTTAATGGGATTTCTGACAATGTTAGTCCTCCATGAGAAAGCAAATTCCTAAATTTTGAATCGGATAGTTTTAGCCTTGAGCATCCACAGTTCAGTGCCGCGCAGTGTGCGACTTATGAGCTAGGAACTGGAGTATCATTGATTGTAAATGTAAAAATAGATAGCCACAAAAGATAAGAAAGGGAAGCATGACATTATATTTCAAAGAATAAATTCAACAAATCTGAATTTTCAGCTTCAAAAAAAATCACCAAATAAGCTGTCCTATTAGATGTGCCAACCTTACTTAAATGAAAGGTTTAAAATCATAAATGCTGTGGCGTATCTTCCCAAAATTACGGTAATTTTACTGAAATTATGATTTCGCCAATGTCAACTACTGTAGAATTTATTGGGCTTCTGATCAAAATATTGTTCTTTAAAATATCATAGCTGCCAACCCTTCCGCATTTTTACTTATTTTAGCTATTTTTTACGCGTAGAAGATGAGATCTTCCTCATTTTACCCAACTGCCCAATAGCTAGTACAATCAAACCCCGCTATAGTGAACTCCCGGATATAGTGAACGAAATGTTCGGTCCCGTGCCTTGCTATACTTGTATAATGTTATTTTTAGTGGATATAGTGAACCAAAAAAGTGAGGAAGTTGGATATAATGAACTTTTTTCTGTCTTCGACTGATTTCCCCCCCCCCCATTTTCCTTTAATAATTTTGAAATTTGTATTTCAAAATAAATACATATACCGATTTTTAAAACCATCTATAGAAACTACTTTTATGTGCTCGAATGGCAGGTTAGACAGGTTTAAAAAGCGGAATAACAGAAATTCAGGAAAAATTATCTGAGAGTCGGGAAGTGTTTCCATATCTGATGTTGAGGATTGCTCATCAGCTAAAGATTACAAATTTTTATTTGTACGCAAGACGAAGAGTGATGAAAAATAACGCATTTTTTGCTACTGCATAATATTTTTCAGTCATTTATATGAATATAATGTAATAAAAGGGAGGAGTTTGGGAACCATTAGTGAAATTGCCTGCGCAACGGATATAGTGAACTTCCGGTTATAGTGAACCGAAATTTTGGTCCGTTGAAGGTTCACTATAGCGGGGTTTGACTGTATTTTCTTTAAATCAGATATTGATGCTCCTCTTGTAATGGCCTTAGAAAGCCCGCTTGCGGTTATCCTCCGTTTCCTTCCATTTACGTCACATCGCTCAGTGTGGCCTCCTCTCTTCTACCGCTGAGAGAAGGAATTCAGCTTATGTTTCGAGAGCGCTTTCCGTTATAACGTGACTTCCTGTTTGTCGGTGCGAAAGCAAACTTTAAAAGAAAATGACTTGTGTAAAAGCAAAACAGCAATTGGTTTATGGCAATATTTATTTGGTCATTAGATTAATCTTGTTAATTTATTATGGCTGAACGAAAACAATGCAAACATCCTTTAAGGAGTCCTATTCTCTTGAATTTCCATTTATTTCTAGATAGAATCTTGGAGTACATGATGTACGCTGCAACGTATGTGAAAATGACTAGCATATCGCATGGTGGTCAAACTGATATGGTCAGACACGTAAAATCAACAAAACACCACAAGAACAAATTTTTTTTAATGTAATTCTTTTTTCATAATTTCTTTTGAGTTTATATAAAGTGCATACTATTATATTGTAATTGAACTAATGTTGTTATAAGTCTTAAAATATGACATATTTCCCTTTTAATCAAGAATATTGTATCATCAAGTTGCTAGTCATAATTTTTTTTTTAAATTATTTTCTTTTCTTGTTTTAAAAAAAGTTGAGTATTGCTTTTTTATGCTGATATAGTGGATTTATAAATAAATATTTAATTAAAATCCGCTTCTTTTATAAATTTATTAGTAATTTGTATGCAGTTGCGAATCTTCTGCATTTTTAGGCATTTCTTCTGCATATTTTTTTTTGGTCTATCTTCTGCATTTATAGGCATTTCTTCTGCATATTTTTTTTTTGGTCTATCTTCTGCATTTTTATAACTAGAGGCTGGCAGCTATGAATTATGTACTACATCATTGAGTAATAGTTTAAAGTATTTTAAGTTGTATGTATGCAAGTATGATCATAGCAAAGTATTTTAAGTTGTATGTATGCAAGTATAATCATAGCTACTTATTATTTTTTTTCATAGGTCCCTATTGTTAAATTGATAGATGCAAAAACTGACACTAAAATAGATATTAGTTTTAATATGAACAGTGGTGTAAAAAGTGCTAATCTAATTAAGGTAACTTTTCAAATTTTTGTATTTTTCTTATTAATTTGATTTATAAAACTATCTTTTAATGTTTTGTTGCTTTTAAGCATTATTTGTAGCCAGTTTAGTTTATAGAAATCAAATTAGTTTCATGAATTTTCTTGTGTTCAGCTTTTTTAGCAATGTTGTAGTTCAAAGTTTTGTCAAGGCATTATACCTATGTTATTGTAAGGGAAAATTATGTTGTTATTATGAAGAAAATGGAGTGGTTCTTTTGTATTGGTCAGTTATATGATTATTCCATCTTAAGTTTTTGTAATGGATATTTTTCTCTACTATTCATTTTTCAGAATTTAACTCTTATCTTTGTATTGAATGAAGCATTGAGTGATGTCTGTAACTATCATCTATCAAAGACTTGTCATACTCTCTTAATCACAAAATTGTTTTCTTTTTAAACTGAACCTGCTTTATTTTACCTACAATCAGGGTGCGCACAGACTCCTTATACTCCTTAGAAACTCCTTGGAAATAAAAAAGTCCCCAAGTAGTACTTGGAACTACTTAGATTTCCAAACTAGTCCTTAGAAACTCCTTAGATTATTGCAATAAGATTCAACCCTACCCAAGCTTTCAGACACATGAATTATTGTTATGGGGAGGGAGGGGGAATTACTTCCTGTTGCTGGTGAAGGGTAGTATTTCAGGCACCTCATTCATCTCTATGAGCATTGCAGTGATTGGCTTAGATTGATCGACTGTGCACCAATAGAAATGCGATCAACAAGATTTTCAAAAACAAGTTGAGATATGTTGCAGAGAGAGTGAGTGACATAGCAACGAAAGTCGGTCTGTTCAACGGAAGTGGGGCGAGAGTTTTGCGTGTTACTGGTAAGTACATTTTTCTCTATTTTACAAGCCTTAAGTAGCACGTGGACGAAGTTTCGCCTCCAAGATAATTTAATAAATTTCGCTTATAAAGTTTAATTAGCAAGTGTTTCAGAAATAAACAACAAACTAATTGATTAAGATTTTAATTTTTTTTTAAATTCAGATTTTTTTTTGTTAAAATTTTTGAGTTTTTTAAAAATGTTTGTTAAGTTATTCTTTTTTAGTAGAATAATGTATTATATTTATCTTTTTCAACTCGTAATACTTGTTAAAATGTCTTTTTTTTTTTTTAATTTATTATTTTATATTTATTTTTTCTTTTAAAGTAAGACATAAATCTTATCCTTTTCTATTGAACGCATTGAGTTTGATACACGTTTGTTACGTTCTGTCAAATTTTCAAATATTCTTTCGTTTGTTAAATTTAACTTTTAATTACTTATTATTTGTGTTTGATTTGTTGAACACTTAGATTAAATAAAAGTTTATTTTTTGTGATATAATCGTTTGGTCTGTTTTATACTCATGTTCGCAATTTTGTTTTATGACTTCAATAATTGGAGGGAAATTAGAAGCCGCAGAACAGAAATCTATATTAATCCGTTTCCCCCCCCCTTTTTTTTTCTTTCAATTCTTTACATTTTTGGGATCTTAGGTCATTAAGGTATGAAATTTTTTTTCGTTCCACGCTTCGCTCTTCATCTTTTTTTTATTCCCCCTTTTTTTTCTTCGTTAACTGCTTCATGTAGATTTACTTTAATCGTTCGATATATTTTCTTTTTGTTTTTAATAGATTTAATAATAGTTTTAAATTGAAAATAGATTTGATAATCTTAATAAAACAATTATTTGTTGGGGGGAAGAAACATAAAAAGGCACTATTCTATTTATTCTCTGTTAGTTTATCTTTGTTATCTGGAATAATTATAAATTTTATTTTTCAATTTATTGATAAATTTTATATAATTACCCCCCCTCCCGATCAGCTTAGTATTTTTTTCTATCTAACGTGTTACGTATGTGATACATTTTTAACGTTTTATTTATTTTTTAAATATTTCGTTTGTTAAATATAGTATAGCTTTTACTTACTTTAAACTTATTATTTTTGTTAATTTTGTTTTGCTCTCGAATGGCATGTGCACCTAGATAAAATAATTTTTCAGTTAAAAAAAAAATTTTTGTTAAAAAAATAGTAATGGTTATTGGTCCGTTTACCTATCCAGTGTTCATTTTTACAATTTTCCGAATTTAAGGGTACAAAATCAAATTTGAAAAAAGTGACCAAAATTTCGATTTTGAGATTTTTATTAATTCAAAAAATAGACGTTATAAGCTTTCAAACAGACAAAAAATTTTTGGAAATCAACCATTTTTTTACTGAGTTATGCAAATTTTAATTAGGCCACGCCCCTTTGTTTACATTCAGAAAACAGAAGTCGGTAGTTTGAAGCAGCCGACTTTTTTAGTTTCGTTTTAAGCTAAAAGAGCTTTATATTATTCAAAATACAAGAAAATTAGTGATGATCAATTTGTTTATAGTAAAAAAGTTTAAGATTTTTAAAAATTTTCATGAAATACATAAAAAATTTGATTTTTGAGCTAGGGCAATATAATTAGCCTCTGAATGGTGGTAACTTTTATTTGGAAATCAAAAACGAGTCATATAAAAAAAAAAATAGGATTCTGCCGTGAATTTTAAGCCGCCTGGAGTGTTTTGACTTTATCGGATTTTATGCTATTTTAAAAGTTCAA